CAGATCAAAGCCTGAGGCACCAAATCAAAGCCTGAGGCACCGGATCAAAGCCTGAGGCACCGGATCAAAGCCTGTAAAAGCTGTAAAGGATTCCAGGACTCTCACCTGTGAGGAAGGAGTCAATCACGGGTTCGCTGCTCTGCTCTCCCCTCTTGGCTGTCAAGGACACCTGGTACTGCGTGTCGGGGCTGAGCCTGGCCAGGTGGTACTGGCTCTCAGCAGACGGTAGCTCCACTACATTCCGATCTCCAGGGTTAAAGCTGGGCCAGACGGAGACGCTGACGCCATCCACATGGGCCACAGGCTGGAACCAGGTGATGAGCGCCGTGGTGTCCGTCACATCCCGTACATCCACCTGACTAGGAGCATCGATCACTGGAAGAAAGACATCACTGTCACCATGACAACACACACCTCATGCATACATTTCTGTTGTTCATCATACTTCCTGGCCTCTAATAATCCAAGCTGTCTGCTCTGAGGAAACCAGATGTTCTATTAGAAGCTCTGTCCATGGTCCTGCTGCAGAGACTTATCAAGTTTAATCAGGATCTTTGGACTCTGAGCTGAAACTGCTCCTTCAGTCCTCTCTCTATCTGGTTTTTCTCACTTGGAATATTAAACTGAAGACTTTTGACAGCAAATCTAATGAATGAAGGGGTGCAGGCTAAAGTTTAGGGGTGGAGGAGTCCGTCTACAATGCTGTATTAGCAGCTAAACAATGTGGATGCTCTGTTTAGCATATTATAGGCAGAATGAATTATGCTAATAACAGAAATATGAAATCCCAGCACCGTGAAGGTTAACTTTCCTCTGCCTCGGAGGCAAACAACTCTCCGAAAGTGATCCCCCTGTACAAGGCTGATAACTGCTGTGAGCTGTGACGTAGCTGGCAGCAGAACCGCAGGATTGTCATTGGGGTGTAGAGTTAGCACTCTCCTGGGAGGGTGGAGTCCCTCTGAGCACCACTGCTTCATTCACCTGTTTCTCCCAGACACAGAGCGCTGTGTTCAAACAGGGAGAGCTCACTATTCACCATTCTCTAACCCCCTATTCCCATTCTCTAGACCTCACTATTCACTAAACCTCACTATTCCCATTCTCTTGACCTCACTATTCCCATTCTCTAGACCTCACTATTCACCCTCATATTCTCATTCTCCAAACCTTACTATTCACCATTCTCTTGACCTCACTATTCACTAAACCTCACTATACGCATTCTCTAGACCTCACTATTCTCATTCTCTAAACCTCACTATTCTCTAAACCTCATTATTCAGATTCACTAAACCTCACTATTCACCATTCACTCTCGATCTCCATGTAGAAAGACCCGGGGCTGGGAATCGAACCCAGAACCTAAAAGAATCCTAAAAATGCAGCACTCGGTTGGTAAGGCAAGGCAAGGCAAGGCAAATTTATTTGTATAGCACAATTCAGTACAAAGACAATGCAAAGTGCTTTACATGATTAAAATACAGGAAGATAAAACAGAATCAGAGCAAGTAGGAAAAAAATAAAAAACAAATAAAATAAAATAAAAAATGCAGAAACAAAACAGTTGGATTAAAGAATTGTTTAACTAGAACAGTGGAAGGCAATCCTAAACAAATGTGTTTTTAGTCTTGATTTAAAGGAACTCAGGCTTTCCGCACTTTTACAGTTTTCTGGAAGTTTGTTCCAGATAAGTGGAGCATAGGAACTAAATGCTGCTTCTCCATGTTTAGTTCTGGTTCTAGGTCTGCAGAGCAGGCTGGAGCCAGAAGACCTGAGTGGTCTGGAGGGTTGATACACTGATAGCAAGTCTGTGATGTATTTAGGTGCTAAGCCATTCAGAGATTTATAGACTAATAGAAGGATTTTAAAGTCTATTCTCTGAGATACAGGGAGCCAGTGGAAGGACTTTAGAACTGGGGTGATGTGCTCTACTTTCTTAGTCTTAGTGAGGACACGGGCAGCAGCGTTCTGGATCAGCTGCAGCTGTCTGATCCACTTTTTAGGCAGACCTGTGAAAACACCGTTGCAGTAATCAATTCGACTAAAAATAAACGCATGGATTAGTTTTTCCAGATCATGCTGAGACATTAGTCCTTTAATCCTGGAAATGTTCTTCAGGTGATAGAAAGCCCACCTTGTAATTGTCTTTAAATGCTTTTGGAGGTTCAAGTCTGAATCAGTACTACACCTAGACTTCGGGCCTGATCAGTGGTTACTAGCTGAAGCCACTGAAGCTGTGTGCTAACTTTAGATCTCTCCTCTATTGGTCCAAAGATTATTACTTCAGTTTTGTTTTTATTCGGTTGAAGAAAATGATGGCCCATCCAGGCATTGATTTCTTCTAAGCATTTCCTCAGTGCTTGAATTGGTTCATAGTCACCTGGTGACATGGTGATGTAAAGCTGTGTGTCGTCAGCATAGTTATGGTAGCTGATGCTGTTGTTTTTTATTAACTGAGCAAGAGGGAGCATGTAGATATTGAATAGGAGGGGACCCAGAATGGACCCTTGGGGAACCCCACATGTGATTTTTGTCATCTCTGATGTAAAGTTGCCTACTGACACAAAAAAGTCCCTGTCCTTTAAGTAGGATTTAAACCAGTTGAGAGCTGTACCAGAGAGGCCGACCCAGTTTTCCAGGCGCTCTAACAGGATGGAGTGATCGACAGTATCGAATGCTGCACTGAGGTCCAATAGTACCAGCACTGTGGTTCTTCCGCAGTCTGTATTTATACGGATGTCATTAAACACCTTGATAAGGGCGGTCTCTGTACTGTGATGAGCACGGAAACCTGACTGGAACACGTCAAAGCGGCTGGTCATATCTAAGAAAGTGTTTAACTGTTGAAACACAGCTTTTTCAATAATCTTACTGATAAAGGGGAGGTTTGATATGGGCCTGTAGTTCTGGAGTAGTAGTTTGTCTAAACTGTTCTGATAGAGCAGAAATATCTAATACACTGATTTCCCGGCAATAGAGTCGAGAGCCGGCGGTCTATTGCTGCAACTAAGTTCTCTTTATTGTGGAAATATTTGGTGATGAAGGATGAAAATGTTGAACTAACCTGTAGTCTGATCTTTACTCGCCTGTCACCCGTATTGATCCCCAGCTCTGTATTTCCTAATGTCTGGGATTGATTGAATAAATAAGTAGAATGTGATTTCCTGTCAACAGGAGCTGGAATCCATATCAGCCTCATAGCGCGTAAATCTGAGCTCTGCAGAAATGAGCCAATCACTCAGGGCTGACTAGAGGATGAATAACCAAACTAATATCGGTGGAAACCATGTTCGCCATGTTGTCTTAATATAGTGATCTTTCAAAGGTTTAGAGAGGCTGCGTTTGGGAAATAATCTTTCTCTGCTGTTTTCAGCACCGATTCCTAACATTCAAAATAAAGTGGAGGCTTTTCTCCAGCAGATAACTGATATAACATATAAACTGAACCCAAAGAGGCTGAGTTTACAATTATTTGATATAAATCTTTCAATTTCCACAGAGTTGTAGAGAGTATAGTTTTTCTAGCTAGAGGCCATCAGTCAGTGGTTTTTATGACCTCCATTTCTCTGGGTGAAGGCAGCAAAGCTCACTGCATTACAGACATGAAGGAAACGTGATAACAGCAGTTAGAAACACAATTCCTCATATCGGCCTCCTTCATCTATGCTGCTGTTTTCTTTCTGCTCCAGCTCACCTGGAGGCTGTAAGGAAAACCCATTATCCATAACAACAGGGAGGATTTACGCTTCCTTTTGTTTCATTTCATGCCTTAACCTTTTCCTTAAGGAAAGAATAAAAGCTAACTTCCCTCCAAAGTTAGCACCGCTGTTTTAGCTGCTGCTCTGATCAAAGCCGCTCAGCTCAGGTGGACAACATGTTGGACGGTTTGATCAACAATGAAATGTCTTCAGCTTTGGATGCACTTTAGGAGACAATAAAAGACGTTTTCCTCTGACAGTCGTTGCAGCTCTGCTGCTGAAGGGACGCAGCATCTTTCCTCACGCTGCTTGATAACGTCTCTGAACTCTGATTCAGCCCACGTTAACGTTCCTGATTAGAGCCGTTTACATTTTAATGTTTACTGTAAATAAAAACATTTTCCTGCTTTTATTTTGTGATCTTTGCTGTCGTTTCCCACCTTGCAATCAATAAAGTTAATTTATGCAACTCTATGAGTTATAATAATACATTTGCAATGAAACACATTGATGTTTCTGAAGTGAGAAAATGTCAAAAAGAGTCAGAGGTCGGATGTGTAGCTCTGCACTGGAAGATCCCATCTGCTATCTTTACTACTTATAATGGGGGTGCGGGGGGGAGTGGAGCCTATCCCAGCGGTCAGTGGGTGAGGGGGGGGTACAGCCAGTGCATGTTAAGGTATGGAAGCAGAGAATGTGGAGAAATGTCTTTAAACAATGAGGAGCAAACCTGCGGGAACCAATCAGACATCAGAGCCTCTGCTTTACCACACTGAGCAGGTCTGCTTCCAATAACAATGGTTTTTCTGTGGTTGTAGGGGGGTGGGGGGTGAACTTACTCGTGACGATGTTCTTAGAAGCAGGAGGTCCACGCTTGTTGTTCTTCACCACCTCCAGTTTGACCTCGTACTCCTGACCCGGACCCAGACCGGACTGCTCAAAGCTGGTCTCTGGGCGGCTGAGGGGGTTCAGGATCTCACCGTCCTCCTCTTTCTGCCAAACGGAATATTCCAGTTAAAGAAGGTTTTTCATCTGGTTTCAGCTGGAAGAGACCGGATGCAGGATGTCCTCCATGACGCGACTCACTGTGTTCCTGAAGATCAGGTTCCAGCCATCAAATGGGATATCCAGTGGATCCCACTGCACTTCCACTGACGTTTCTCTCACAGACTTAAACTTCAGACCCTCCGGCTCTGGAAGATCTGGGAAGAAGAAAAATTCAGTTTTACATCGTTTCTGCCATGAATTTTAGCAGCCGCTGTGTCCAGCGCTCACTTACGAGTAGCGACTCGTGCGCTGACAGAGACGCTCCTCTGGTTGCTGAGTACGGCGTAGACATTGATCAGGTACTCCACACCGGGCTCAAGCTCTCGAACCGTGGCCTCCTTCATGTCTCCAGGCACCCGCATCTCCAGCTCCAGACCTCCGTGGGCCGTGGGCACGTAGGTGATTAGGTACTCTGTCACTTTCATCTTGTTGTCCCAGGAAAGGTCAACTGTTTCTGGAGTCACCTCGATCACAGACAGGTCCTCGGGTGGCGACACTGTGAAGACACGGGGAAAAGGAGCTGCCTCTAAAAACGGTTTAAAGATGGACGTTTGTTGGTCTTCTTTCTTCCATTTGTGCTGCTGTGACACCAGAACTTCCTCACGATGGGAGGAGAAAACGTCTTCCTAATGGTGAATCTAACTGAATGCTGATCGCACTCAAAGTTATTCTGGCTAAAGAAGGTGAAACTTTAAGGTCTGCTGGAAAGAGAAACCTGAACAAAGTCAGAACTAATCAGGACATATCTAATAAAACAGGTCTAAGCTGATCTAAAGAGCAGACAGAAGTAATGGAGACATGCTGGAGAGGATCTCTGTCATCATCATTCTAAAAAAGTTCGAATCAATCCTCTGGACTGTTTCCAAGTTTGAAGATGTTTGGCTTCCCATCCAGGAAGCTTTTTCAATTCAAAATGGCAGAAAAGCCTCAAACTCAACGCTAGTTCTGACATTTTGAATTGAAAAAGCTTCCTGGATGGGAAGCAAAACGTCTTCAAACTTGGAAACAAAGTCCAGTGGATTGATTTTAATTTTTTGTAGAGTAATAGAGACGTGAGTCAAGTCAAAGCCAACCAGGACGTTTCCTTCCTTCTCTAAGTTAGGGTGGTAATGGATAAATGTCTCTATGGGGCTTTTCATGGTCAGTCTGCAAAATTCAAAATGAATTAAATGTAAACAGGGTCTAACAGCTCTACATCTACATCCATTTTCCAATTGACCTGAGGAGTCTACAGACCCTCCTGGGTCACCCAGGCTGTGTTATCATCAGTCTGCATTAGGGTCTGTTTGCATCAGAGGGATGTAAACTCTGGAAAGTTTGCTCTATAGGTTGGAATATTTGCTCTGGTTGCTGATTTGGGAACATTTAGGAAAGTTGCTCATTTCTTTGCTCCTATTCTGACTCTTAAAGACGATGAGAAATCCTCACTTTAATGGTGAGTTTTGTTTTCCTAATTATGAAAAGCTGGAATGATGAACCAGGAGAGCAGGAAGCAGGTTTTTGGTGTTATTGAAGACAAAGTGTTTTCTGGGTTCTTTAACTCATAGAAGGAGGAGCTGGTTTCTGTGAATGACTCTGAATATCTCATGCATTCTGTGGTCCAACCCAGACTCATTGCTGGGCAACGTTTGTTCACTTTGATGCACGTGTGTCTTTCCTAAAAGCTACTGACTGCTCCTCATCCTCAGCCCTGATCCTTCATCATCCAAAGCTGGTTTCCAAATTTCCCCCATGATTCTGCAAAGCCTTTCCTGCTCAGCTGTAGCCAACCCAGACCTGCTTCATAGTTTCCTGCAGAGCTGCTCATAGACGCTCATGAAGTCTTTAGCTGACAGCTTTATTACAGGGAAAGATTTTTATAAAATGCTTTCTGTTGGTTTTACTGGAAACATTCAGCTTTGCAGACTTATTCACCCTATTCTGTAAGGTTTGCCGTTATAAGCCAAAGGGGGCGGGGCCAAAGTGGATTCAATCCAGTTAGGGCGAAGTGTGTTTATGACATTGGATGTAAGATGGCAACACCGATGACTGTGAGAAGTGTTTTCACACTAATGGCAATGATCACTTTCAGTCAACAGATCAAATGCTCATTTCTCAATTCAGTGTTTTAGCTCCAATAAATGTTAAATGTCCTGTACTTATATAGCGCCTTTATTCCAGTCAGGACACATGACCAAAGCGCTTCACACTACATTCATTCACCCATTCACACTCACACTGATGGTGGTGAGCTACATTGTAGCCACAGCTACCCTGGGGCTCACTGACAGAAGCGGGGCTGCCGTACGCTGGCGCCACCGGGCCCTCTGACCCCCATCAGGTGAAAGGTCTTGCCCAAGGATACAACGACACTGAAAGTCAGAGCCGGGGCTTGAACCGTCAACCCTTCGATTTCAGGGCAAACTCCTACATCCAACGCCACTGTCGCCCAATAACCAAAAACGGGATATTTGACTATTCCCATTTATTTACTTCCTAATCATTTATTTGGTAAATGATCTGAAGATCATATCAAGTCTCCGTTAGTTAAAACTTAAACATTGTATCTGAAATGGAAACTGGGTGTCAGGAAAGCCTAAGCTCTGGTTTAGACCCGAGTCCTTTGTTCCATCATCTACCTGTTTATTCTGACTCATGATTGATGAAAGACGCAGATGGGGGGAGTCACTGATGCCCCTGATCCAGCTGGGCCACCATAGTCAGAGAGCCAGAACCACTATGGACTCTGAGGACCCAGTGGATCCCAGAGCAAACGCAGCAGGAGAGACTCTGATCCTGAATCAGCAGATCATGGTGACATCACAGCAGGTTCAGGAGGTTCCTGGATCCTAACGCAGCTTCACTCTGACCACATCCTGCCTCTTTGGTTCTGCCTTTAACGATGTGAAAGAACAAACTGATCTGTGAGCTGCGTTCCTATGACTGAACTATAAAAGTAGCTGTAAAGGTTCTCCTTAGATAACAGCAAATAGAAGGTACAGCAGGGTTTCTAAAGCTGTGATCAAAAATCCTGATGTGATTTCAGGTCAAAGGTCCAAACCAGCCTTAACAGGAAGCCTCCACTGCAAACAGAAACCACAGCGTCCAATTCTAGATGCTGAATGCTTTCCCACAACTTTTATTCACACAGGCTGATTTTTTCCTCCTGTTTCCACTGCTGAGTCCAAGCAGACCGACTCCTCGCTGCAGCAGCATCGGCGGTGCAAGAAAAAAGATCTTGGTACATAGACTGCAGTTTGGAACCAATATAGAGGAATGTCAACTAGATAGCCAGAACAGTCTAATCTAAGCTTTAGAAGCTGAAAACTGTTCTATTCATTAATAGAGAATATTCAAGGATTTTCTTTAAATAAAATGAGCTTTCTTATTATAAACCATCCACACACAGATGGAGCCGCTCATCATCAGGACAAACCCCAAAATATGACACTGATTTGATCCATTATTTACATCTATATAACGTATAAGGAAGAATATAAAAGGTTCAATTATTTTAGACTGATATTACTCATCTATTATCTCAATAGTTTGAGATAAGATGCTTTCTTAGAAGTTTCCTGAAATTGTGACGGAAAATGCTACAGTTTTACCCTCCTGTTGTTTATATAGCTTAGTCTGAACTTAGTTATTAGAACTGGGCTAGAACTATAGAAAGTAGATCAGACAGCTGATCCAGACGCTGCTGCCTGCGTCCTCACTAGAACTATAGAAAGTAGATCAGACAGCTGATCCAGACGCTGCTGCCTGTGTCCTCACTAGAACTATAGAAAGTAGATCAGACAGCTGATCCAGACGCTGCTGCCTGCGTCCTCACTAGAACTATAGAAAGTAGATCAGACAGCTGATCCAGACGCTGCTGCCTGCGTCCTCACTAGAATTATACAAAGTAGATAAGACATCTGATTCAGATGCTGCTGCCTGCGTCCTTACTAAAACTAAGATAATAGATAATTGGCTTTGTTCAAAATGTGAATAGTCCCACACATTCTCATCTTCATACTTTGGATCTTGTGCTGACATACGGCATAGAATGTGAAGAAATAACAGGATTTCCTCACAACCCTGTCCTCTCTGACCACTTTCTAATAACCTTCAGGATTACTTTAACAGAGTTCTCCTCCCCCAAAAGAAGGTTCCATTTTAGTAGATCTTTATCAGATAGTGCAGTTATAAATTTTAAAGAATCTGCTTCACTTTCTCTCTCCTCTGTGTCGCTGAGCAGTGCTGCAGAGTGCGAAAGCATAGCTTATTCCCCTTCACAGGTTGATGATTTTGTTGATGGGGTTGCTAGTTCTCTGCGTATTGCCTTAGACAATGCAGCTCCTTTGAAAATGAAAACCGTTAAAAATAGAAAGCTGGCTCCTTGGTTTAATGCAGAGCTGCGTACTTTGAAGCAAAATGCTAGGAAACTGGAGAGAAAATATCGCTCCACAGGTCTGCGGGAGTCCTTCCTAGTCTGGAAAAATGGTTTACTGCTGTATAAGAGGAGCCTTTGTAAAGCAAGAGCAGCATACTTCTCCTCATTAATAGAGGAGAATAAGAATAATCCTAGATTTCTTTTTAATACAGTTGCCAAACTCACCAAGAGCCATAGCTCTGTTGAACCGTCCATTCCACCTGCTCTTAGCAGCAATGATTTTATGGGATTCTTTATAAATAAGATTGATCTTATTAAAAATAAGATCATAAGCACTCCTCTATCCGTGATCACTGAGGTAGTCATGGAATCTGAACCGGGTTTAGACTGCTTTGATCCAGTTGAACTTTCAGAGTTTGCATAACTATTGTCTTCATCTAAGACTTCAACTTGTATGTTAGATCCAGTTCCAAACAGGTTATTTAAGGAGGTATTCCCTTTGATCTCCTCCTCCATTTTAGATGTGAATAATCTATCTCTGTTACAGGGATATGTACCTAAAGCTTTTAAGGTTGCTGGAATTAAACCTCTGCTTAAGAAACCTGGTCAATTATAGACCTATATCCAATCTTCCTTTCTGATCTAAAGTTCTTGAGAAAGTAGTTGCCAAACAAGTTTGCGATCACTTCCACCACAATGAACTTTTTGAAGAGTTTCAGTCTGGCTTTAGAGCTCATCATAGCACTGAAACAGCTCTGGTGAAAGTCACTAATGATATTCTCATGGCCTCAGATAATGGACTTGTATCTGTGCTCGTCCTGTTGGATCTCAGTGCTGCATTTGATCCAGTTGATCATAATATTCTTTTAGAAAGACTTGAATATTTTGTTGAAATTAAAGGATCAGAACTAGACTGGTTGAAATTGTATCTATCTGATCGATTTCAGTTGTGTATTAATATTTTGTTTCTCAGACTGTGACTAACTGGATGTGCTCTCTTCATCCTCTGACATGGGAGCTGGCTCGGAGCTCGTCTGCCTGGCTTTGTGTTTCCTGGACGGGGCCGCCTGTGGAGCTGGTTGACAGTTGTCTTTTGTATCTTACTTCTTTTTCTATGTCTGCTTCTGTCTGAACAAACCTGAACAACCCTGAACAAAAACACTACTTTAATATTGGAGGTTTTAAGACCTACATGTTGGATAACGTACTGTTAGAAGAACCCATTCAGATGTTCTACAGAAACCTATGTCTACATGGTGTGCCTTACCCTCAGAGCAGTCCTCTCCAATGAAGCCCTCATCACAGAAACATACTCCGTTTTCACAGCGACCCTGGTTATAGCAGTCTCCTGGACAGGTGAGGACAGAGCAGTCCAGCCCAGTAAAACCTTCATAACATAAACAGATACCGTCGACACAACGACCTCTGTCATGGCAGTTCTTAGGGCAAGTCTTCTCGCTGCAGTCTTCACCAGTAAAACCTTGATGGCAAACACACTGACCATCAACACATTGACCTCTATCATGGCAGTTCTTAGGGCAAGTCTTCTCGCTGCAGTCTTCACCAGTAAAACCTTGATGGCAAACACACTGACCGTCCACACATTGACCTCTGTCATGGCAGTTCTTAGGGCAAGTCTTCTCGCTGCAGTCTTCACCAGTAAAACCTTGATGGCAAACACACTGACCGTCCACACATTGACCACGGTTCAGGCAGTCATTGGGGCAGGTTAGCTCGCTGCAGTCTTTTCCAGTGAAGCCCACAAAACAGACACACTTTCCATCGATACACTCTCCTCTTCCAAGGCAGTCTTTGGGACATGTCTTGATACTGCAGTCTTCACCTGCAAAGCCCTTTTCACATACGCACTCCCCATCAACACAGCGGCCCTGGTCTTGGCAGTTGTTTGGGCAGGAAAGCTTGCTGCAGTCTTCTCCTTGGTACCCTATGTCACAAATGCATTCCCCATTGATGCACTGGCCCCTGTTGCTGCAGTTGTCAGGGCATGAGAGGACTGAGCAATCTTCACCTTCAAAGCCAGGATCACATATGCACTTCCCATTGGAGCAGTGGCCTCTCTCATTGCAGTCTTTGGGACAAGTAAGCTTTGAGCAATCCTCTCCAGTGTAGCCAGCCTGGCACACACATTTGCCACTCACGCATATTCCACGGTTGTTGCAGTTTCCAGGACAACTGAGCTCCCCGCAGTCCTCTCCAGTGAAGCCCTCATCACAAAGGCAAGTGCCGTTGATGCAGCGTCCGCGGTCATAGCAGTCGTTAGGACAGATGAGCTCAGAGCAGTCAAAACCTGTCCACGGTTCATCACAGACGCACTCGTCCTCCACACAGCGGCCCCGACCCAGGCAGTTGTTAAGGCAGTTGGTCTGAGAACAGTCCTCGCCGATGAAGCCTTCCTCACAGAGACAGGAGCCTTCAACACAGTGGCCATAATCGCCACAGTCCAGCAGGCAGAGCTCGATCCCGCAGTCATCCCCACCAAAGCCCTCGAAGCATTCGCATCGACCATCCACACAGCGACCCTGGTCCTGGCAATCATTGGGGCACTCAGACTCGGAGCAGTTGGGTCCTTTCCATCCAGGTTCACAGGAGCAGCTGCACGTGTCAATGCTCCAGTTTCCACGTCCGTTACAAAATGGCTTCGTTGACACCTCTCCTATAGAAAACAACACATTAAAAGGGAGATATTTTAAAGCTCATAATTACGTGAATTTTACAAATAGGACAGTTCTCTGTTGGGAAAAATCACAATGCTTGCTTAGATATAAAACCCTTCTGCTTCCTCAGGTTTCTTTGGTTATAGATGACATAATTTAACATGCTGTTACTGAGGGAATGTTGCCAGCAGGGTAGCTAGAAGCGGCCAATGTCTGTCTCACCATCTGAATGCAGGTGTTAAAAGACAGATGGACATAAAACATTATAGCTGTACACTCTATGTATGACGTTTCTGGTTGTTGGCAGGAGGACAGCCTCACTATGTCACATATAAGGTCAACTGTGATAAACAGATTCACAAAAACATTAAGAACCTCAACTAATACTAGTTTTATAAAATAAACCTTAAATACTTTACATTTGGACTTTGATTCCTGTTTTTTAGAATCTGCCGTCTACAGATGCTTCCTGCCAGTCATCCTGCTTTGCTAACTGACTGTTGACTAATTCCACAGAGCTCTCATAAACATCAGGATGGCTCCCATCGGAGAAGCTTGATCACCTGTAAAAACGGGATTTCTGTTTGGACTTGCAGCTTCGTCTTCCTTCCTTTTGCGTAATTTATTACTCTACCATCACATCAGTTAACATTTTAACAAACTGTGGATTTTTTTGATTGAATGACAAACATTTTCATATTATTAAGGTACAAATGTATGGTTTTCATTTTTTAAACAGATAAAACCCTGAAAAGACACCCTGAACTAACACTGAGGAAATTAAACAGCAAACAGCAGATGGGGCAGTGGGAGAGTTTAACAATAACCCAAGAGTCATCATTTGATGAAGCTTTGATCAGTTGATCGTCTTAAAATGTAAAGGTTATGGTGCCGATCATCAAATCCAAATAACCAGCCACAGAGAGCAACAGTCGGAGCAGCAGGTGGGAGACCCCTGATATCTTTAAAGGAGGGTTAGAAGTTTCCAGCTCAGGTGGCGGGATGACGACACATTCACATGGCTAGCTGTAATGGAGGTCAGGCAAGAAGAGGACTTTCATTAAGAAATCCCATCGAGCATCCTGTTGGCCAATCACTATAAGTAGCGAAGATCAATTAAAGATTTCCTGGAAAGATCAAACTTTTGTCTTTATGCAGAAAATAATCTTAAACATAACAAAACTGAGAGGTCATCAGGTATGGTTCCTCCTGGAGGCAACAGCTGGTTAGACCTGCTGCTACCAACCAGAGGAACAACAAATATGGGATGTCCAACTTTCCTGCAATCACACCGACCACGGTAAACGGTGAAGCATATGACTTCAAAGGATGTCATTCTGCTGACAGAGAATAAGACACTTTCAGGACATTACGCCCCCACCCTTTAGGATAATTCTAGCACCCATCCACCTCCATCACTGGCAGAAGGTAGCAGCTCAACAGTTGCCTGCGTTGCTCTGCAGGTAATGCCACATGTGACCATTCTTTGATGTGGGGGGGTTAGCTGTTTGTTGGCCCACAGTGGGCAGAGTTACTGTTGAAGGTGGGGGGTGATTGGCTGGGTCATCTTAATGTGGAACAGTAATTTACTGTTTGAGGGATGTTTAAGATCCCTTTAAGAGAGAACACGTAGCTTTGATTGGTCTGCTGGGCATGGCAGCACGATCTTAAACAGTCAATAATCTAAACCATGCAAGGAGAATCAACTATAGTTCTGAACTCTCTGAATGCAAATACTTCAGCTGCTCTATATGAATGCAGACAGCTGCAGACTCACCTGTAACCTGAGCTGCACAGCAGCCGGCTCCACTGCTGCACTGCTCCCTCAGACTAGACAGCTCCGACTCCAGCATCTCCAGTCTGTTCAGGATGTCTTTGAGGTCTGGCAGCTGGTTGTCGCAGCCACATGCTTGTTTGGGGATATTGATACGGTGAGTGAAAACGATCTGGTTGTCGCCATCGACCGTGTGCTCCATGTGCTCAGTGCTCTGCATGTCCAGAGCGCCGCTCTTGTGTTTCATCCCGGTGCTGCCTGGTGAGTCGAGGTCCACAGAGCACAAGGAGGTGGAGGGGACGTTGATGTTGTAGACGTGGTTGAAGACCACAGGCTGCTCAGGATGGGGAAGAGTCAAGTTCTCCTGGGTTTTTTTAGGCACCAGGGTCTCCCTCCGGTGGCGGATGACCTTCTTGACAAGGCCAGCGCTGGAGAGCTGGAGGAGCACCACTGCAGTTATGCAGCTGAAGAGGAAACCTTTGGTTTCCATGACGACTACAACCACAGAGAAGGCAGCAGCTAAGTGTAAACAGTTGTCAATGTGATGGTTGTGCCTTGTCACCAGATCTGTAGAAACACAATATGAAAAGAATGGAGACATTGAGGGTTGTGGATTATTTTCATCAAGGAGATTACTTTTTATTACTGTCTGTTAGAGAAACACTTGGAGTCGTCATGGCGACCAATACTTCCTGTTATCAGTTTCTATTAATGCATTTCAGCCATTCAGGTTAGACATAGAAGGATTATCTGACATAAACCTTCTATGAGAATCTTCTCCTCTGTTTTGTAACCAGCAGACTCCTGACCAGCGATGACCAGATAGAAACACCAGTTAACTGGTTAGCGCTCCAGCAAACATGCGGCTTTCTGTCCCGAAACCCTCCACTGTTCTGAGGTCAGGGCCATTTTCCAACCCCAATCGTTAGCTTCCTTTCTATCCACTAACCAGGTCTGAAGGAAGACACTGAAAAACCTGCACATAACTACTGAAAACTCAATTAACCTCCATCTGTTACCAAATATAATGCAGACTTTATCATTTTGCATTTTGATAGAAATAAAGCTGTTTTAGTCGAAGCAATAATTCCCAGCGGGTCAGAGAGCGCTGCTCCCTCCTCCATCAGCCATAAGGATGGATCTCTGAAGGATGGAGGAGCAAACACAGAACGGAGTCAGTCTGAATACATGCTGCCTCTGACACGTTCAACCCCACTGCTCCCACTGGAAGAGACATGCAGGCCACTGGGAGCACTGGGAACATGCTCAGTGTGTTCCAGGACAGAGAGCAGCAGGTTGTTTAGCAGTGATCTGAGCTTCTGACCACATTCTAACAGGTCATCTGGCCAGAAAGAGGCAATCTGAGGAGCCTCGTCTGCTCTTCATACTCAGCCCAAACTGGGAGATTAACTGGAATGTGTGGGATTACTGGCTGTGGTCTGAGAACGTCAGAACCACAGTGGTGGACATTCCTGAACCAGATGATGGATCCTTTGATCATTTTCCTTTATGAAGGTCACCTTGAACAAAAGGATTGGGTTGGATAAGGTTAATAAACTAATATAATACAGAATAATTAATAAAGTAATAAAATACTAAATATATTTAAGTTGCTCGGCCTTTTGAGAAATGTTCATCTTAGCTAGGTGGGATTAAGCTTGTTTCCATTCAGTTACTGGGAACTGAAAATCGAATATGAACAGAACTACTAATGTGTCAGACCCCCCCACCGCCCCGCTGAGAAGCTGAATGATTATTTCTACCTCCAGCTAAATGCCGGCTACCTCTGCGGCTCTAACAGACGTCCTGCTCAGCATTCAGAAGCTTTTCTGTGTGTTTTTCAATCCAAGCTAAGGTGGAAAATGGTAGATAAGCTTTTTCCTCAGCGTTGATGATGTCATGCTGTCAGATTTGCTTCATATATAAACCTGCAGGAATCATCCTGGTCTCACGTTTGATTAATGCAGCTTAGAGGGACCTCACAGCCTCAGCCCCCCGTAAAACTCCCTCTCTGCTTAAATTCACAGGAAAGAAGACACTCCTTCATAAGTGCAGGTTTCTGTGGAGCTGCTATCGACCTCTTGGCGGGTTTTCTGACACATTATTTCCTCCATCTTTCCCGTTAGAGCAGAAACCTGTGTGTCTTTAGGAGGGCAGATGTTCTGCAGCATGTTCAGATGATGGATTGAACGGTAAACTTGCTTCTCGCTGATCGTTCTTCTGTGTTCCTTCCTAAAGAGATGCTTCAGTGAAATGTAACGATGATCTTTACACAGTTGTTTATTGGCTGTGGATGTGAAAAGGTTCTCAGTGTTTTCTGCTGCAGGATCCCAGCGCTGCTTCTTCACACAATCCTGTTCATCGGTCTCAATGTTCTACCAAACATTTCTGGATCTGCGTTGGTTCTCTGTGAGGACAGACATGTTCTCCTCAGATTGTGCATTTCTGACCCGTGGAGTCCCTCAGGGCTCGGTTCTAGGAGCTCAGCCATATTTACACAGCAAGTCCGTCTGAAGGCTCAGAGTTCGGTGTCTAAAAGTGACCGGACCAATCACAGAGCGGGAGGGGATTTTAAACTTGCCTCATCGTTACCCACAATGCAACAGCACTTCTCTATAGCCATAACAGTTCAGACTTCAGGTGCAAAGGAGGGAGCCTGGTTCTGCTGGAGGTTTCTTCCTGTTCAAAGGGAGTTTTTCCTCTCCACTGTCGCTACAAGCATGCTTAGTGTGAGGGATTGCTGAAGAGTCAATGAGTCGATGCAATCAGCTGCTTTTCCTTAGATAGAAAACTTTGAATCAATCTGACTGGATGATCTGGATCTATAAAGTGACCTAAGATGATATGATGTGAATTGGAACTATAGAAATAAACTGAATAGAATTGATTTTCTCCAACTCTATGGACTTCACTGAAGATTTATATAAAGATGAAATCCCACTCAGGTCGGTAAAGTGAGCTGAATGTTTCCTCCCTCATCCAGTCCTTGGATGAAACATCAGCGTCTCATTGGTGCTTCAGGTCATAATCAGCCATATTTAGGCCTCTCCTATAAAATCCCAATAAATAAGGTTCCAGTCGGTGGTTGAAGTGTGTCTTATGAACAGATTGAGGATTTAGGAGTTCTTCTTCAAGGCGATGCAGGCTGATGCAGTCAGTCTTTACACCCTGGACCCTCCACCCTTCAGTCTATCCTAGACCTCGTTACCAACACAGACACCAACCCAGTCACAGTTCAAACCCAGGATTAATTCTCTCAACAGCCAGAAAATTGCTTTGAGTTGCTGCTAGGGTTTTAGTTCTGGGAGGACGAATAGCTTTTTCACTCCTGAAGGCTGGCTGCCCTCCACATGGACAGCAGTCCAAAAGCAGAGGACCAAAGCATGCTTTGCCCAAGAGTCTCCGTCTCTGGCAGAAAGCAGCACTGCTCAGAAATAGATGAAGAAAGGAACTTTGTCAGAAGAGGATATTTAGATGCGATATTTTCTGCTCCTGGCTGCCGTCAGCAGCTCTGCAATGTGAGGAAGAACAATCCCAGTGTGAGAATGTGATTGTGACCCTGAGAAACATGGAGCTGATCCGTCTGTTTGGACTTCCTTGGTCGGCACCCTGTGGTCCTGGCAGGATGCTAATGCTGCTGGCTGCTGGCACCGAACACATAGACTTGATACAGTCTGACTATTGCTTTTTATTCCTCCACTCAGTTTGGTTTCATAGTTAGCTTAGTAAACAGCCACAAAGCCTGTAGTGCACCTCCCTGTTGGTTCTGAGGAGGAGTTTAGCAGAGAAAACCTGCTGGCACGCATGAATCTGCTGCCACCGATCTAAATAACCCTGTTGTGACTGAGTTCTGGGCAAACACAGCTTCATAGCCCACACAGCGGAGGGCTGGGAACGCTTCAGTTTAAAGGAATGGGATCTGTCAGCAGGAGAAATCGATTTTATGCTTTTAAAGTGGATTAAACCAAACAGGACCCCGATTATCCATTCAGTTCCATCCAAACCCAAACAGCTTTCCTGACAGACAATGCAGCAATTAAGCAATTAGGAGTTAGTTACTATAACTTTCACCTTTAATCAACATGAAGAGGTTCTCATCCACAAAACAATTTTCAGCTTTTAACAAAAACCCTCAGAGAACCGTCTGTTCCTCCATCTACGCTGGATTTAAGAACAGATCAGAGTTTTAGCAGCAGAGTCACCACAGTCCCATTGATTAAAGAGTCCACCGCTGCTCCACCATTAAACCCTGATGACGATACTAAAGACAATCCAGAAAATGATTGGATTTATTTCTAGAATCCCCTTCGATCAGAGAATACATGTTAAAATAGAAAGACTATTAAAGTCTCTGCAGCTGGTTAGTTAACTGCAGTTAATGCAGCAGAAGAGGAAGGTTTATCTGAACAAGGTGAACGAAAACTCAGCTGAAGTGAGTTATGTTTTTAGGTGAATTAACAACAAGCCATATGAAAAAGGAATTAGAATATTAAAGCTCACTTCAGGGGAAGGACTGAAGATGGATGCTGCCTCAAATCAAATATATATCTACTGGAGATGAATAATATATCCGTCCTTCAGAGAGTTAATCCTGCATCAGGAAACTGCAGCAGTTAAAGGTTTCTGTTGAAGGATCTGATAGAACTGCATTCATTGATATTTCATTGCTTTCTGCATCAAGTTGCTTCATCATTTCTACAACGAAATGTTTGATCAGATCTAAGATTCGCTCATTGAAAGAACAGGAAGTCCTTTCCTAGTCTGACAGAACGGTTCCCTGCATCAGCATCTGGAACATCAGTCACACATAAATATTTATTCACACTAAAGCCAAAGACAACAGACGTAAACTACTGTGGAAAGAATCTGCAGAGATAAAACGGTTGATCTGGTTTCCATTTGGATCCATTTTCTGCAGCTGAAACAACGTCTGGAAGGATGATGACATTAGCAGCATTTCCCTCCTACTCGTCTTTTTAGGAAAAATAAATCCGTCTGCCTTCGGTTGGCTTAGAGATTGATGAGCAGACGCTCTGTGTCCGTCCTAAGAGACACGCAGCAGTCCGAACACACTGTCTCAGCCAGGACCCCCTGCTGACCGACTCAGTCATCACCACAGTGCACCTTCACTGAGATCTCCACCATATGGCAGGTCTGAGATAAATCAGAAAGCAGGCATTCAGCAGAAGCTATCAGCAATGCCTTCAGGGGGAATGGTCTTTGTTTAGGACGCTAGGATCCGTCTGTAGGGACAGAAAAAGTGTTCATCTGCAGAGCAAACAGATTCTCTGGGTAAGTCAACAACAAACAAACTGAATAATGAGGCAGCGTGCCCCACTTGGTGGGTTCAAACCCTAAATATTGAATAACTCCAGTCCCACAGCTGAATGTTAAACAGCTCTAATAGCATGCACACGTTCTCCTTCTATTAGCAGCATCCCCAGTTTTATAGGTCACCATGACAAAAACCCAGCCTGGCTTCTAGATACAGAATGCCAGATGAGGGAGGCAGGATGAGGAAGGGAGAGACTGGATGAGGGAGGCAGGATGAGGGAGGCAGGATGAGC